TCTCATATCATATTTCATGCATAATCAATTAATTCTTTTCATACAACTTGATAATGTTGGCTAATCACATGTTTAATTATCTTTTAAACATCATTATGAAAACATATAACATTTATTTAGGTAATCTCATAATTAACCCAAAAGTTATAAGATATTAAGCCGTCCACTCACCTTGAGCTAGCGTTTTGAAGTTTTACCCTTCTTGGTTGAACTCCGGTGAAACTCCGGCGACTTTTGGTCAACTCCGGCGACTACTCCGGCGACTTTTCCAACTTTGTGAAATCACTTGAAATACCCTTTACAAGTCCCTAACAAGGTTTTATAATCATAAAACCCATATTAATACAAATAACCTCAAAAAGGTTATTTTCCGGTGAACCGGTCGTTTTGGCTTCTAAGTCCGTTCTTGGACATAGAATCACTTTCCAACCCATTAATCCATACTTATAACATGTAGAACCCTCTTAAGGATTCTTCACATGATATATATCTCATATGGTAGAAGAAAAATAAAGAAAAAGTTATAATAAGGTCATTACCTTAATTATTTCACACTTTTAGCACTTTAGCTCCTTTTTGGGTGATTCCTCTTTGATGAGCTTTCTTCAACAATGGAGGAAGGAGGTTGGGTGGATTTTCTTGCTCTCCCTGGTTCTCCTTGGCCGAAAATGAGGGAGGGGAAGGGGTGAGGTATACTCATTTGTCTCATAGAGCAAATGAGTGTGGATGGGGCCACCTCCTCTTTGTTTGATGCTAAAAGGATCACATCACCATCCCCCATGTTTCTCCTCTCTATGCCAACCGACCCAGCCCTCAATTTGAGTGGCAAAAATCGTGGGTTGGCCCCCACTCATGTGGGAGGTCAACCCTTTTTGTCCCGAAGTGTACAATTTGTCCCGAAAGTTGTATTTTTCGGACTGCTTTAAATATATTTTATTTTATCGGTTCAAATAAAATATATTATGTGCTCTTACTCATTATGACATGTATAATGAATGTACATTCCCCAACTTTAATTTATAAGCCTCCGAAATTCATTTTCGGGCTGTTATCTGTTAAATTGTCGGTACCGGTAATTGGGTCTCTTTTTCCCCAATCGGTCAACTCTGCGCCTTTCCACGACTCAAACGAAATGTCCACCACTATATAAATATTATCTTGACCAAGATGAATAAAATATGTGGTCTCGGGAGTGTCGGGCGGCCCCCGCTCCCGGTGTGGGCCCCACGTGCAATTTACTATTCACGCGAAAGAATAATAAAAATTTACAACTTCGTAAATTCGTAAATCATTCCATAAGGTTTATTACATCATTTACTTGAAAGTAAATACATTTGGGGACGGTGTTACAGATGACAACAATAAGCCCCTTGCTCGGCTTTATGCTGCGGGGCCATATGTTGTCATGGTTATGGGCTTTTAATTGTTTGAGTTGTCTTTAATCATGCCTTTGGGGTGGGCTTGACAATACTTTTAGGATGGGCTGAATATGAAATCAATACTAAAAATAATAGAAAAAAATTAGGTTGGGCTGGGCTGAAGCCCACCTTTACCCCTTGATAAATCCGCCCATGGATGTTAGTGTTCATAACTGTGATGCTATAAATGTATTATTTTTAATATTTAATGACTAATTTGTTATTTAGGAATGTAAATTATTCCATTTCCTAAAATGGAAATAAAAATCTTTATATGGATGACCAAAAAAGAAAATAAGAACCTTTCTATGAGACGGAGTGAGTATTAGTGCATTATTCTTCGCAACATACGAAGCAATAAAGTATCACATCCGTTCCATTGAATTTGCTAACTCCGAATCAGGTGATAACACAACAATAACACCCAAGTCTTAATCCTAACAAAGTTTAGGGCCGAACAATGCAAAAGTCTAAGACGGTCAGCCTACTAGCCTGACGGAAGGGAGCTCAAGAGGCTGCCTACCTGCCCAACCGATTCATGGGCGGAGCTAGGGAAGGGTCAGCCCTGACCTAACCCAATTTTTAAAATTGTCTAATTTTTTTGTGTATAAAATTCCGTGTTAATTTTTTTTTTCAAAAAAAATCTTTTTATCAACCCAGTGCCCTGGGTTTGAGAGCTAGGGAGGGACGCCTGTTGGGAATATTTTATGGTGTCCAATCTAGTTAAAATCTTGGTATTTGTGTAGTTATCATTTAGATATGTAATATGGGCCACAAATGTATTTCAGCTCGTTAGCCCCTTTTGCAAGCCTTAAGTTAGACATCCTTATGTATAAAAGGAAGGGAAACCCTTAAGGAATCATAGAATAGAGGCAGCCTAGCAATAGATAAGTTTCTACGCTGCATTCTCTTGAGGGAGACTGGCGGCCGATTTATACGATGTACCTCATTTCTCAATCTTTTTTGTATTAAATCGGAGCTTTCTATATGTTTCTTCTCTCTTTTCTGTGGTTGTTTGATTGTTGAGAAATCCTCAACAATCAAACCCTGCAAAGGAAGGGAGCTCAAGAGTCTGCTTGCCAGCCTAAAAAATTCAAAACATGTGGAGTGAGGTAACTATACACGACGTTTTGAATTTTCGATCGTGTATATATAGTTACCTCACTCCACATGTTTTGAATTTTCTAGACTGGCAAGCAGACTCTTGAGCTCCCTTCCGTGTCTAGTTATGATCATTAGTCTTATAAGCATTCTTTACTCTTATAAAGAGATGCAAAAATCTTTAAAGTTTGCTATTGATAAACAAAACGAAGGGAGGGACGCAAAACTTGTTCTTCACAAGACGTTGAGGGCTAACTTTAAAAGATTGAGATTTTAGGTTTATCTTTTCCATATTGCTGATCACAAGAGTATTTATTAAACATGTGTGGTGAATGACGTAGTTGAGAAGTTCATGGGCCTGAGGGAGTTCCGCAAAGTGTAAACTGAGGAGTTGGGTGCATGGAATTGAGAATGTTGAATATTTGAGGCGGGTAGTGGACCAGTGGGTGTTGAGATTTGCCAACATCTTTAAATTTTAATAAATTAATCTCTATATGTCAACATCTTAGAATGTATTATAGATCTCCTTTTCAACTCCACAGATTACGGGTCGTGCTAAGCATGATTCATTTTCTGTCTCTAGGGTTGCCGCAAGGCAAGTCGCTAGTTTCGATCGTCCGCTATCGGCTTACGCCGAGGAACGTGGCTGGTTTCTGGCCATCCGTTTTTAATTTCGGCATAGAGAATTCGGAAGGGGAGGCAACAAAGGAGGCAGATGAAGTTTTTGGTTCTGACTGGCAGTTTCGTGGTGTTTTGACGGAAGAACCGAAGAGACGTAGCAGTGCACAGAGCGACAAAAGGCCGGTCAAGGAAGAATAGAGATTGGCGGTTCGTCTCCCTCCTAAACCGCCGCCTTGGATTGATCAAGAAGTCGAGGTTTGGAAGATGATTTTTATGGTCTTATTTTCGTGTTATGTTTGTTTACGGCGTTTCGTTTTTTGTTGAGGACTTTAGTTTTAGGTCTACAATAATGATTGTCAATTCTGCTAGATATTATATCAAGGATCTATATGGTCACTGATTGCTGTGTCATCCCCGCTTGGTGCTTAACGATTCATATTGCTCGTTCAGGGGTGATCACCTCAGAGTCTAACCGTAAGGTTGATTATGATTGTTGATTAGGAATTGTTTTTGTCAGGGTTGGTCTTTTTGGGTTTGTTGTAACGATCCTTTCCCTAATGGTTTTAATATAAGAGTTGGATTTGATGATAAAAAAACTCCATAGATTACGGGTCAAAACTAATTTCTCCTATTCAAGTTAATTTCTTTAATTATTTTTTGTTTGGACTAGCTAATTAATTACGAGTAGGGATGAACTACTATAAAAATCAATTCTCTCTTCCTATCCGAACCAAATTACCAAAGAAACCCTAAATGGCCCATATCTTAATGTTACATTTCTATTAATAATCATTGGTAGTAAGGATATTTTCGGGTGGTTTAGTGACTTTGGTTTGGTCCAATTTGTTTATAGCTAGTTTCATTTGTTTAAATCTAGTCTAATCTAATCTGATCTAATAAAATATAGTATTATATGTTTTTACTATTGTTTAAATCTAATCTTATCTGATACGCGCCTGAAATAAGTCCAAGTGAGACCATTCATAGAACTAGCAATGAAATAAAAATAGTTATAAATTTTAAATGTTTAAACAAAAATAACTGATGGAGTATATGGCCCAGGAACCCCCGGCCCACAGACTCCTACTCCTCCTACACAGGTCCATTGAGCCCAAGGAACATCTCAGGCCCAAATGCAACGGCCCAAGCCTCGAAGGAGCCCAGAATACACACTGGGGTGCCTTCGACCTCCTTGGCCGAAGGCTCCAAAACTCACAGGATAGCCTTTTTTGGGCATGCGAAGCTACTGGGAGAAAACGGCGGAAAAACAGGAGCCCTCGGCACTGTGAAGCCTTCGGCGTTAGAGAAGCCCTCGGCTGAAGAACCGGGCCTTCGGTTATACAAGGCCCTCGGCCACACGAAGCCCTCGGTTACGCGAGGAGCCCTAGGCTACTCGGGGAGCATACGGCCAAACAGGCATAATCATCGAAGATTCCTTTGGAGACAGCCAACCACCGCATTTAATGCGACGTCACATCCACCCACCGCATTCAATGCGGTGAACATGCCACTGCCGGTGCCACCCCGAGTGATGTGACCCCTCGGCCATTGGATTGTTGACACGTGTACTCTCATCGCATTTATTGCTGCTATAAATAGCAGTCCATTTCTCCTTGTAAACGATCCCAGATCTCACATCTCGAGTTCATTTAATACAATCGACTCTCTCTCCTCCTATTTACTCTGACTTCTCTCTAGGTTATCCCGTAATAACCCCTCGGATAAGACACCCCCGGGTAGACTATCCATCAATAACCAAACTCGCCACAGAAGCATAAAATAGCGTTTGTGACAAGTTTGCAGTTGGAGCTTCAAAAGTAGTAACAATCTTCTGTCAAAAAAAAGTAGTAACAATCTAAAACTTGGCTTTTGTTCTAAACCAGCCACACTACAATATGCCAAACCAAGCCCTGGTCTGAGACTGAAGGAAGTAGTCTTTGCGGCAAAAATTACATTTCTTGTTCAAAAATTATTACGGAGAGCCCCAAAAAACAAACCATATGCATAGACTTGTTCGAAAAAGATGGTATAAGATGGAAATAGAGTAGGTTCTTTGCACTTCAGGAAGTCTATAATTAACTAGTACAACTGTTGGCATATTACTAACATTGTTTCAATAAAGAGAAGAGCCCAGCGTACAATTTCATCTATTCTAATGCACACTACGAAAGATTCCATGTAGATATCCGCCTGTCATAACAAGGGAAACCAAGGAGACAATACCAGCGGGAAAGACCTTCTTTGATGTCATAAAGCGAGAGCCCATTACACCCAAAAGCCCAGCAGAGAGGACAAAGCCTATGCATGATGCAAGAACAGGGTTTGTTGGAAGCATGGTGTAGACACAATACAAAAGTGAGGCAGAAACTCCACCAGCGATCAATGATTTTTGGCTCCCACTCTTCAAAAAGCCCATCACTCCACCAGCCCCAACCAAGAAAGCAAACCCCAGAGTCAACTTCTGTGACATGGAAAGACCTGCTTTCCTTTTGCTGTGTTCTGATTCCCCTTCATTACCACCATCATCATTACCGCCATGACCTCCATTGTCATTTGAACCACCATTAGGGACATCTCCAGCACCATTACCACCAGAATCTGGTAAAACATCATGCCCTACTTCAGCTGAATCAGTAGCAAAGTTGGACGCAGCCTTAAAGTCAGAGACAACACCAGCACGGACGCCCCACTTGAATCTGTTTTCATGAGTGCAAATACGTGTAGACTGTGTAGGCAACTCAAGAAGTGATCTCTTCGCCTGAAAAAGATGTCATATGATTTAATAGTTTACATGGCTTTTAAAGGAGTTCAGTGCAAAGGCGTCACTTAAACGCTTAAGTCTTACCTGCTATTATCAAGGCTTATGCCTCCATTTTGTTGAGGCGATGAAGCGTAGAGGCAAAGGTGGTGGGCTTAGAAGCGTAAGAGATGCGTAAGCCTCAAATTCCATGTTTGGGCTAAGTTTTTTAAAGCACGGGCCTCAATTTTCCTCCTAAAAATTAATATATAAATTACCTTAAGGCTCTTAGTAAACCATCAATCATCGTTCATCACTTAGTCCATAACCCTAAGTCCTCGTTTAGTCGTCTTCAACACGACCCGAGACCGCTGCTCTCTCGGGAGAAGCTCCAACGGCTCAATCCAGGTAATTATCCCGATAATCCTACCACCACCTTATTCCTTAGTTATTAATGTGAGTTTATGTGGTTGATACTGAATTGATAAAGTAAGAATGATTTAGAACCACACGAATTTTACCAAATTTGTTATGGGACAATCTTATTGGGATGGATCGAAAAGGAAAGACGGAGCAATTTAGCGGGATGGGGGGAGTAAATAATATGGCTAAACGATAACTTTGATAGACAAGTTCAAACTGTAAGACTATAGCCTAATAGGTTAGTATAAATATTAAAAAGTTTAAAACTTGAAGTTAAATAATTAAAATTTCAAAACAAAAAATAATTAAAGAAATAAGGCGATGGTGGGATTAGTGGGATAATTAGGTGGACAAAGCAGCTCATATCTCACTGTTGGAGCTTCTCCTAAGAGAGCAACGGTTGATGTGTCTGGTCGCGGATGTTGAAAGACGACTAAATGAGGACTTCAAGTTGTCAACTAAGTGAAGAATGACGATTGATAGTTTACTAAGAGCCTTCAGGTAATTTGCATATCAATTTTTAGGAGGAAAATTAAAAAAAGCGAGGCCCATAGTTTAAAAAACTCAGCGCAAGCATGGAATTTGAGACTTACGCATCACCTACGCCTCTGCGCCCACCGTCTTCGCCTCTACGCTTTTTCGCCTCAACAAAATGTAGGCGTAAACGTAAGACTTAATATGAGCACGTACGGCTTAAGCCTTATAAGCATTTCACTGACGCTTTTGCACCTCAGAGGTGGATGCACTGAACGCCTTTGAAAACCATGCCCGTGATACGGAAGGGAATGAAAATGAGAATAACATTAAAAAAAAAAACTTGGAGAACGATGAAATGAACAATAGGCTTATTTTTTAAGATTAATAGTTGCAATTTCCCAATCGCAAAACTTAAATCTCTAAGCCTTTTATGCTCTTTTGTCTTGGATATTTTAGTGCTTTATGTTCTTTTTTGACTTTGGTATTTCCATCATTTGCAAAGGAGCCAAAGATTCATTATTGTTTGGCTTGAGAATATGATGGAATAAAGCAAAATCGCTCACTAAACTGTATGCGCTTCTTTGTTATGAAGCAGCGGTCAATCCATGCAATTTTGGACGCAATTTTCACTACGGGTCATTTGGAAACATTCTCTCTATGCTTTAGTACATGGGTAAGACTGCGTACATTCGACCCCTCTTACCCCACCGAAGGTGGGAGCCTTTGCGGCACTGGGGTAAATGATGATGATGATGTTGTTTTTTTTACTTTGGTGTTTTATTATGATTTTGTTTAGCTGAATTATTATTATGAATTATCTATATTATCAGATATGTTGTAGCAAAACTTTAACAAGTCATTTTGAGGCTTACGCCTCGCAAGGCTACCGGCTACCGCCAACCTCCTCGGGGCCCGATTTAGCCTTTCACAACCTTGATAGGTTACGATCCGATATTGTCTGGTCAGGATGTTTCTAGTCTTGTCAGGCTTCAATGCTTGAATGTTTCTGGTATGGTTTGAATCTTTCGGGTCTAGTCTTTTCTTATGTTTTTCTTTAGGACAGATTTAAATAATACTACCTCTGCACCATTAAATGGGATATGAGGAAGTGACTATTATGAAAAGTGAAATCACGTGGTTGATTAAATTTGCAAAGTGTGAATAAAGTAAAATGAATTAGAACCACAAAGTATGACAAAAACGACATGAGCAAACTAAGTGGAACGGATGAAAATGGAAAGATGGGACACAGTGAGACGCATGAAGTAAAACTTAATTAGTTCAAATAATAAGGTGAAGAGAACAGCACCTTAGTCAGAACTTGCAATGACAAGGGCATTACTGATGGTGCTTGATGATGACCTAGAAAAAGCTGCCTTTGGCACCAACCTTGGACCCGGAAATCAGGAAGTAGTATGGAGGATTGTGAGAGTGCCACAAATTCTCCCATTATTGGTTACTAAACGATTATGTGTTGTATATACCTGCATATTTGAGAAAAAATTCACTTCCATGGCTAATGGCTTCCCAAAAAAATAAGTCACTTCCCTTTGGAAGTAATCCATGGCAGTGTAGAAACATAATCCACAAGAATGATATAATAGTGGCACCATGGTACATAGATCATTTTCATGGAGGTATATAAGAATGACTGAATGATAACAAGAAAAATTGTTGCACCATTATGGGAAAAAAAATTATATATCAGGGGTGCAACATAAAACACTACATTGTTTATGAGCTCACTACTTTAGCATGGATGCAGTAGATGATAGCTAGATTTGTTCAGTAAACCACATAAAAGCTTTTAACTACTTAGATCAAGAATATTTGTTTTTTAGATAAAAATCAAGAAAATTTGTTGATACATATCCAACAGTAGTTCCCCTTATTGTACTCCCAAACTTCATATTCATACAGTCAGTGTATGGCATCCCATTTATCTCTTACATTGCACTTATCCTTGTCTTGATTATTTCAAGATAGGTCAGATTTACGTTTATAATAAAAATAAAAACAAGCAGATCAATGTTTAACAATGTAAGCAGACAATTTAACCAAACTTAAACATTTAACTTTTTGCAAATCCACGATATCCGAGATTATTTAATTACTTTCCAATATGCAAATTCAAAAATCAAAATAAACTATCCGTGAACTGACATATTGAATGCTTCATTAATCATTAATCCAAATTATTATAACATTGTCCTCACCTAAATGAGGCAAATTGAAAATGGTAAACATCCAAGATTGAGATTTAGTGCAAGACTGCAGACACTGATTCCGACTCTCAGGTGCTTTGGGAGTTTTAAAAATAAAAATCAAGCTTGAGGTGAAACCAAAATGAAGGAGAGAAGCTTATATTACCGATAGATTTTAGAACAGACGGAGTCCTGAGGCTGATGCGATGAGGACCTGCTAGTTAAGGTTGGAGTGTTTTGACATTGGCGACCTACTTTGGACCGATTGAAATTGCAAAAATGGAATGGGGGTGGTAGCCTGGCAGGGGAGCATGGATCCGGTTCGATTTGAATGGGTGTGCAAAATCCAAATTCTACGACTGGTCAAAGGGTGTTGCTTTGCAATTTTGTTATTCTAAAATCAAAATAATTTGATCTCCTGGGAGGCTGGGATAAGTGGATAACACGGCCAGCCTATTAAATTTTGGCCTACATGTGTCTTTTCTTATGGTTTAATGACTTAGGGGAGAGCCTATATAGTACACCCGGGTGTACGTACATCTGGTCCAATTATTAAATATGATTGGTGGGCTCCAAGCGAATCGCGGCCTCAGCTTAAAAAAAATTAAAAAACCCAGCGAGATTCAATCCCGCAACCCGAAGTAAGACATTTGGCCTTCCAACCATCTCACTGACTTGTCTTATTGAAATAATCAGTTCATTTATCTTACTTATCCTATATAGTTTCATACTGCGTATTATTATACGGAGTAGTAATTATAATATTAACTATTCTTTTGCTTTTGCTCATTATTACTATATTAAAAGACTAATTCATATTTTTGAAGTATTTATTTGATCTATGAATCATACTATTACTTTATATAAATATGTTTATAATTTTTTTTATATAGTGTTAGTGAGATGAAAATCACGACTTCTGGAGAATGAGTAATAATGAACTTTTAGTGAGCACCAGACCTATTTTGTTGAACATACTGAATACACAAATTGATATTTAAGCGTATTCGAGATTTTAAATGAGCTTTTAAATTTTTTCTATGCTCATTTCGTAAATTTTAAAATGAGCATTACACGAGATAACTTAAATGTCATATCCATGCATATTGGCGTAATGCTCATTTTGAACTTTTTGATACTCATTTCACGTTTTATATATTCACATTTAATATTTGAGCATCAAACATCCGCTATTGAGATGAAATTCACGGTTTCTAGTGAATGAGCAATAATAAACGTTTAATGAGCATCATATCCATTCTGTTGAGTATTAGGAGTCTAATATTGAGAATTGTGATCTCCACTTCATAACTTCTAATTCACTTTCTTTTTGTTATTTTTTCTTTTATAAAATCTTATTAAATTATATATATTTATAATCAACTCCTGTGAATTTCAATATGTGAATTAATGTAAAATAGTACTTTAAAAAAATGCATCGATATGACATTTAGACAATGAGCATACGATCTCTATCAGATGAGCATACGTAACATACAAAATGAGTATTAATGAATTTGTTAGTTGCTTTGTTATTTAAAATGAGCATAACAAAGGTACTAAATGGACATACATAACTTACTAAATGAGTTCAAGATAACGATTTTAATTGAGCATCACATATTCTCTATTGAGATGAAATTCACGGTTTCTGCTAAATGAGCATTAATGAACTTTTAATGAGCAACAGACCTATTATGTTGAGTATTGTTGAGCAGCATAAATTCTTCTTCATAACTGCTGTTTCACTTTCTTTTTCTTATTTTTTCTTTTATATAATTTTTTAAAATTATATCTATAATAGATTCCTATGAATTCCAATATACGAATCTAATTTAATATTAAACTTTTGGAATATGCATCAAGACATTTCATTGAGCATCAACTTTTCTCTATTGAACATTGGAACTCTGCAATTGAGCATAAAAATTTCAAAACTTATTGAGCATAAAAAATCTTCATTGAATAATCAGCCGTAATAGTATTTATCATAAAATGTTATATTGATGTACATTTCATGTAAAAATTATTCTCATTTGGTATAACATAAAACTCTTTTCTTTTACTCATTTTATAATGTTATACCAATGCTCATTTTTTTGAAAGTGGTGCTCATGTATGTATAATATAAAAATCATTTGTGTATAACTCACTCATGTAACATAGTGATTACGAATAAATTAGAATAAATCTTTCTTAACATTAAAATCTTTAGTATGCTCAAATATTAAATGAGAATACAACCTATGAAATGAGCATCAAAAAAATTAAAATGGACATTACACCAATATGTATGGATGTGACATTTAAAATGCTTAGTTTAAAATGAGCATTACATCAATATCAAATGAGCATAGCTAACTTACGAAATGAGCATAGAAAAATTAAAAAGTTGGATCATCTAAAATCTCTAGTATGATATATATTCTCAAATATCAATTTGGGCATGCTCATTTAATATTATACGAAGTATACATGTGCAATAAAAAATAAAATATTTCATGAAAAGAGAAATGAACTTTCACTCTGTAAATTTTTCAAACAGTTGGTAGGCAAAAATTTAAAAGCTTATCTAAAATCTCTAGTAGTTTCTTCTTATCATTCCTACACACATATAATTAAATGCAAAATCAATTATGGAGTATCAAATACGAAGTATTATGGAAGGAGACATTGGAGCTTTAGAGAAAGTGGAGGTAGAAGATTAATTTTGAAGTTTGAGCTTTGTATTGAATCTCAAACAGTTGGTGGCGGCTGAAATCATTAGCGTGTAAGGAGTTACGGAGTATTTCATTATCAGAAACAATGATATTAATAATCAGGCTCAAGCTTCTAAGATAAATTCACAGTGCAAATAAAATTGGGAATGATCGCAGATGCGCGCAGGGAAGAACGACCACGGGAAGAATACAGATTAGAAAGAATTTCAAAAATACTTGGGTGTACCTGTACACTCGGGTGTACGGTATAAATTGCCGACTTAGGGAGGGTTTGCAATCACTTAAAAAAAGCACTTCTCAACTTTTGGCTTTAAAAAGCACTTATTTACCAAACACTACCAATTTTTACTTTTTCTCGGCTTGCGTGTGAAAAGTGTTTTTCCCCTTTCTATTACACACAAAGCACTTATTTTACCAAACACTATCAACTTTTACTTCTCAAAATCACTTTTTTCTCAAACACTATCAACTTTTCCTACTAATCACTTTTTCCTTACATCTCCAAAAGTGCTTTTTTTAAGCAGAAGCAGTTGCAAACACTCCCTTAATCATCTTGCTCAAAGCATGGGCAAGAGACAACACGACAAAACAGCAGGGGCTGGATATAACATTATAACTTATACTAGGTATATATATACATAAAGAACCGTCCGGCCAAGCCCCTCCAGGCACTTACATAGTTCTGCCCCTGCTGAGGAGGGACATATTTAACTACTAGATCTCCATGAGCTACACGTTCTCTGACAAACTGATAATCAATTTTGATGTGCTTGTTGCGATCATGCTGAATGTGATTCACCGCCAAATACGAAGCAGAGACATTGTCACAATGAAGCTGAACATGACTGGAAATAAAGAAACTCATATCGGCCAACAGAGAGCGAATAAATAGTGTATCCTGAACCGTGTAAGCAACGACACGGTATTCAGCTTCAATGGATGATTTAGATACTGTAGGCCGCTTCTTGGCTCTCCAAGAGATTAAATTGGAACCCAAACAAATGGCATAACCTGTCGTAGAGCGACTACTGTCCGGACAACCAGCCCAATCCGCATCAGAATAAGCAACAATAAGAGAAGTAGCATTCTTGGACTGGAGCCATAGACCGTGATCCAGTGTACCCTGCAAATATCTATATATGCGCTTCACAACCAAAAGGTGACTAGTACGTGGAGCATGCATAAACTGAGAAACCAAGTGCTAATCATAAGTAATATCAGGTCTAGTCAAATTCAAATAGTGTAAAACACCTACCGTGCTTGATTTTCTCCAGCAATCAAAATAGTTGATTGGATTTAACTATGTTCCGCACACCAAATAAGCTCTTTTACCAATTGAGCAGGTTGCCGAACCTTTAGGAGCAGGTTGCCGAATGAGGTTTCTGCTTTAGTGTTGAAGACACAGTAAAGAACTATGATCTAAAACATTATTGGATTTTTAGAATAGACTAAACACATAGGTATGAAGGATTTAGACCTATTCAAACATAGATCCTTTTTGAAGAATTGGAGGTTTCTGCTTTAGTGTTGAAGACACAGTAAAGAACTATGATCTAAAACATTATTGGATTTTTAGAATAGACTAAACACATAGGTATGAAGGATTTAGACCTATTCAAACATAGATCCTTTTTGAAGAATTGGGAATAAGGAACAAGGAAAGTGAAATGAAGTAAACTGGGTAGTTTACTGATCAGTATTTTGAGGAAGTTGTTTGTTTTGGAAAGATGTGAAAGTGAGTGAGAAATGTTGTGTCTTGTGGGAACTGAATTTACAAAGTGATACAAGATATATTCTGGTTCAGAGGAGGTGTAATCATCCTACATCCAGTCCCACCCTATTTCAGATGGATTTCCACTAAATGAATATACCCATTACATTTAGTGCTCAATCTACGCAGGCATAGATTGTGAGGTTTTCCACTAATGACATTAACAAGCCAAAAGTTACTCATGTTTTTGTCCTTCACTAACCTTCTGAATTTGATCACAAAGTCTTCCAGAGTTTACAAACTAGTCTGTTTACAAGAGTAAAGCTAAACTACTAACTAACTAAGCTCTAATGATGTATATGTATTTGAACTATTCGAAGAGCTTAGGTGAGTGGGGTGAGAACTATGAGGGTGAAGGAAGATCAACACTTTCTTTTGCTAGATATGTCATATGATCCCATCTTCCTTCTTAGCTCCACACTTGTTCTTCATGCATTCCTTCTGTATTTAAAGACTGAGTTGTTGAAGCTCCTCCGTTGGCTGAAGAGATTCAATCTTGACCGTTGCTTTGATCCACTGATTGTTCTATTTGACTAAAAGGTAGCATGATTGATTTTTGTCTTTTTGTGACACGGATTGTTTCTTCACCTCAACTTGTATTCCTCATTTCAATGCTTTGATAAAGATAAGATATTTCAATCTTTTATCCATAGAGTTGAGTATATAAGTTGGGTGATTGTTCAATGCTATCTTAGAACATAACATACTTGCTTTTAGTAAAAGTAATATAATGTTACAAGAAATTTTTATAAGGTGGTAAAAAATTCTTATGAAATTACTTTTTGTCTTTGTCTTTTATTTGACTGCAAGTTGATCTTTTGTTTACTTGATTTGTGCTATAGAGAAGACTTTAGAAAATTTCGGTAGCCTTGACTAAAATACTAAGTCAAGAGCTAGT